CTTGATACTCGTGATGCGATGAGAGGGCTGTATATGTATAATGTAATAGAGGTGGTTCTTGTAACCCTAAGGGTCTGGGAGCACTATGCTTCAACCAGGACTGGAACAAAGGACTGGCTCTTCTGTGTAATGTTTGTGAAATGAACTGTGTATATATTTCAATCTGTGAACTGTACTACTCGTGAACTTCTTGTGTAATAAATATGTGTAATCTGTGACAGGTGTCCCACCAAAAATGTGTACTGAGTGGGATGAGGAGGGAAACAACTGGCAGGCAGAGGCCTCCTTATATAGTAAATTATGAGGGATTTTAGCCCCAAGGGACCCCCTGTATGAGGCATTTTAGCTGCCCTATCCTTGAAAATCCTGAGGGATTTTGGCTAGACTATCTACAATGCATCCCTTTTATATGTAAGCTGTAAGAAAGGAATTCATGTGTTCTGTGGCTGAATAAATGGGAATTTAACTGGTACAACTGGTGGCCAACTTGTGGTTATGTAAGTATAAAATGAATTCAATATGAATAAAAGGAATTCAATAAGCAATATGCAATATACCCCCCCATGCCATATACCCTCCAGCTGAGTGCCTCTGATCCTGTGATTCTCCGTGTGACATCCTTGATTCTGCGTAACTTCTGATCCAGTAGAGATATGAGGGTGGTTCCAGTGAGTGACTAGGGGTTAAATTGGCCGTAGATTCCATTTCTGACGTCCAAAAGTCCATATCTTGAGTCCTTCATTGATAAATAATAAAATTTTGAATTTTCTTCCTTCATACACAGGAATAATGACCACAGCAGGTACTAAATTGAAGGGAAAAAAAAACTGGGAGGAGAGCCTCCTTAAATACACAAAGGTGAGGGATTTTAGCTTCAGGGGAACAGGATAATGAGATATTTTGAATGGCCAGAGCTTTACAATGAGGGGATTTAGCTATTCAGAACATGTACATGAGGTATTTTGGCTGGTTGAGCAACCTACATGTTGTCATAAGAGTCATTTTAGCTTGAACTAGAAGTCTACATGAGGGTTTGATGCTGGTGTAGCATGCTACATGAGGTGATTGTACTAGTCCAAAACTAAGATGGAGTGATGAAGATTACATGAGTGGTGTGAGATAGTCTGACAGCTGCAAGGAAGAATAAAAAATGGCATTACAACCTGCATGATGTCACTTGTAAATCCTGAGTGATTCCAGACCAACACTGCATGTGTCAACATGTCAGAAGATAATGGAGTGGTGTGTATACTTATGTACTATGCTGGTGTGAGAGTGTAGTTGTCCTGCAATGGGCATATGTATAGTGTGAGATATGTAATTGTTGATGTGTTGTTGGTGGTTGAGTGCTGCCATGTTGTTGAGGTATGTAAGTGAGTGTTGTCTTCCAATCCAGTTTAGTTCTGTTGATGCCTCCAGTGGTAACCAAGGGTGAGATTGAGGGTAGAATCCATTTCTTGAGCCATATTTAGTGATTTGTGAGTGTATGCATGTGAGAAAATGAAGAATAGAAACAAATAATGAAAGTCTTTGAATTTTTCCACATTCATATACCACAGCGGCACGGACAATAAACAGTTTTCAAGGGTCTGGAATGCTTGCTATCAAGCAGCTGCTCGATTTGCTCAAAACCGCCAAGAACCACAAGGCTTTTGCAAGAACTTCCTTGGTTGCCACAATGCTACAATTTCGCAAGCTGTGTCACTCAATCAGTCGGACAGTGGAGGAGCAATGTACAGGCGTACGGTTAAGTGCTACAACCAACGGTTCAGGGATGGCCAAAATCAGTGGATTGAGTTGGGATTCATTTGAAGCACTGATGGAAAGATGGCAGAAGTTGGGGTGGTATGCGGTCAAGCAAACACATGTTCTGTTAAAGGAGAAGAAACATTGAGTCAAGTTTGGAGAGAATAGTAACAAGGCAGAAGTGGACTTGTGGAAGCAGCAGTGTTGGGAGGTTAGGGGGATTGTTGAAGGGAATTTACCATTGGTCCAGGCCAGTGTTCAGAACAGATAGAGCATACTTTCCAACAATGAAGATTGCTGGAAGCAGGGGATTTGTAAGATAACAAACTTGTAGCTAACAACTGATAATAACTCCACTCAAAACTCAACTGCCTCCATTGAACAACCTGAATCATGTCAGGTTATCAACAAGTGTAGAATCTTTCTTCCCCCATCACATGGATTGAATCCTTGCATGGGGGGGTTGATAAGCGCACGCCAACCCCCATGGCGCCTGGCGTGCAGATTGGCGTGCAGGCCCACACGCCAAAATTCCAGGGGAGATTGGCGTGCAGGCCTGCACGCCCAACTTTAGGTCCTAAACGCATATTTATATGCGTTTAGGACCTGGGCTGTCCCATAGGACCCAGGCATGGGTCCTATGGGACGGCCCCGCGGTTGATTTTTTTTTTCTTTTTTGCAAACCCCCTCGGCCTAGAGAGGCCGAGGTTGTCAGCTTGCTACTATGGCAGAGACAACCTGTCATAGCAAATAAAAATAATAAATTACATAAAAAATCTTAGTATAAATTAAAAATATTACATAAGTAAAAGAAACAATATTACTTATGTAAATAAGATAAAAAATACATAAAAATAAATGAATAGCTTAAAAATTATAAGCAAAACCTTGAATATTATTGCAGATTCTGAATCAGCATACAATTCTACCTAGGGTACCTCAGCCAAAGGTACCCCAAATTCTAACTCCTTCACCCTGTAATACAAGCATGAATAATTAACAGGTACCCCCAGATCACGGGTACTGTGACACTTCTGCATGATGCATAATGCATATACTCCAAATCCAGTCTCAGAATTGGAGTATTGTGCACGGTTTAGAAGATAGAGCAGTGTGGAGTCCTGTCTCCAAGCCCATGTGCCACGTAGTCATGCTGTGCACCAGTATCCAAGGATTGGGCCACAAAAGCCCCAGAATCCCCATTGCACGTGGCAACAAAGCCCCCACACGTGTAATAAGAATGTGAACAAGCTAGAATATCCATGAAAGTACTAAATTAACCATATTCCAGTGGGTAACACGTGTAGCAAGCCTCAGAAGACACCTCTGGAATATTCTGTGGCCCATTTCCAAGGAACCTGCTCCACGTAACAGAGTAGCCCCTATCCACAGGTTCCCATGGGACATTCTTGGCTGTAATAATTTCGTGAATGACCCCTTGGAGCTTCTGGAACATTATCCCCAAGGTTCCAGCCCTGGTTACATCACCATGTGGGCCAAAATGGGCCCAAAAGCGCCCCCAAGTCCTACTAAGCTCCCCTGAGCAACCCCTGAGGCCTTCCACAGGTATTTAAAGGGCCTTCTGACCGCCCAAATAAGGATCCCCCAGCTTTACAATACCTTATAGAAATTTGCTTACCATTTACAAGTCCCCTACACTTGTAATTAGCCTAGTTACTACTATATTTGCTGTTATTAAAGCCTCAAGAACCCTCAAGAAACTCCCCAGTTATCACCCTGCACCCAAAATCAACCTTTCTGAGCGCTCCCAACTGTCCAGTTTCTACTAAGAAAATCCTCAAGACCCCTTTGGATTATTACTAGTGAGTAATAACCCTTTCTTGAAGATTTTCCCCTAAAAATTATCTCCAGGGATTTAAACCACACCTGCTACAGGCCCCAGTGTATCATGTACCTAAATCCCCTGCTTTTTGCACGATACCTTAGAGGGATTAAACCACCCCTGATTTATCAGGCCCCTCTGGTTTTATTTATATTAATTTTATTAATATAAATTGGCCACTTTTTGGATTTAATCCATAAATTCCACGTAATTCTTTTGAATTACTTGTACCAGTTCTATCCCAGAGTTTTTGCCATAAAAACTCTTACTTTTTGCACCTTGTGTAGCTAGAGGACACGTGTCTTGGCATCACATAGGCTGACAGAGGTCACACCGCCGGCAGGAACCCCTCCCAACGAGCAATCTAAATGCCAGCTCGTCGGAAGGGGTTTCTTCCGACGAGCTGGTACATGATCCAGCTCGTCGGAAGGGGTTCCTTCCGACAAGCTGGTATAAAATCCAGCTCGTTGGAAGGACTCCCTCCCAACGAGCTGGTACAAAATCCAGCTCGTTGGGAGGGGTTGTCAGCCTTGAGGTATATACATACCCATAGGCCTCAAAACATAAAATAATAAAAATAACAATTACAACTCATAGTCAAGTCTCAAGACTAGCCCAAGAAAAAATATTATAAATAATAAATTAATATTAAGCATAAAAATCTATATATAAAAGTGTATATGGTCAAAAGCCTGCAAATGACCACAAAGGCCTTTAAAAATAAAAATAAACTTTTTTTACTTTACTTAGAAAATAAAAATAAAATTCATGTAGTTACATACCACTGTGTAACTACATACTCAAAAAAACAAAGAATTCTGTAAATATCAATAACTAAAGAGTTACAGACATTTAAAGTTACAGACAAATCAGCTGATGACATAAACAAGTTCATTGGATGCGA